AGGCAGGCAGGGGAGGGGAGCAGACTGCAGCAGCTGCTATGGTGAAACTGAAGGGGGATCAGCTAGGAATAAATAGGGGTGGCCTAGCTGATGGCCTGAATTTGTGGTGAGGATAAACAGCCTGTGATATGATTGTCACTAGCAACACTCTACAACCCTGAAAGAGGGTGGAAAGAAGAACAGATGGCTGATAAAATCAGGGTTGGAGTCTAGCAAAGCTAATAGTGTAAAAAAAAAAAAATCTAGTTGGTCCCAAGGGATCTTAAGTATAAGTGAAAGCATTGTTACATCTTCTAAAAATAATATCTTACATTTTTCTCATAATCCACCATGTTTCTTGAATTATATTACTGCTTTAACAACCAGTTGTCAGGATGAGAAAGAAACACTATGGAAAATATTCAGTTGACAGTAAGAATCATACCAGACTCAGACACTAAAATGGGAACAGTGGAGTCTGTTGTGGAATGAAGCAAATATAGCTTTAAGAATTTCAGTGTGTGGCTTTTAATTGGATCCTGATTTAAAGAAGCAAACTATATTAAAAAATGAGACAGTTGAAAGATTGAACATTTAATAAATAGTTGATGAAAGACAAAATTATTGTTTAAGGCATGATAATAATTTCTCAGTCATGATAAAAAGTCCTTTTTTAGATAAACATGCTGAAATGTTTACGTATGAAGTTACATTGTCCTGTGGACAGAGAGTGGAGCAGGGAAGTTATCGTTAGGCAACTGACATGGAGAACAGTATAACTGAAGCTGGCGAACAGAGATTATGACCTCACTTTATTGTTTTTCTGTCTACTTGTATGTATCTTTGAAAGTTTTCCATAATAAGTAGAAAGAAAAATGAGATTGTTCAAAGCTCCTCAGAAGCACCTGATTGATGGCAGATGTGCTTGGGGAAGGAGGTACCTGTTGCCTGGCAGTAAGCAAGAAGGGCTGAAGGCTGCTCTCCACTGGAAATGGCTAGTGACAGTTGGGGAACAAAGTGTTCATATGAGCATGCTGAGAAACTCAAATGCCATGGAAGGAAAATAGCCCTGGGATGGGAAGAGTGGCAGGCGCACAAAGTCTTACAGTGATGGGGAAGCCCTAGTCACCCCTCCCAAGGGCTAGCTCTGCATGTACACAACTACCAATCAGTGGCCTTCCCTACTTGCTCCAGTGCCAACCCCAATTCCCCCAGCAGCCACGAGAAAGAGGAATAAAATGGCTTTACTCTAAACATGGCTCCAATAATGTCAAAGTTCTGGGAGACAAGGAAATGGCTTGCTAGGTGAGTGGTCAACAAATTTTTCTAAAATGTAGTAAACGTTTAGGCATTGTAAGCCACAGATAATCTCTCAACTACTCAACTCTGTTGTCATATTGTGAAAACAGCCATAGATAATATGTGAATTAGTGGGCACGGCTGTGTTTCAACACAGCTTTATTTATACAGACAAACAGTAGGCAAGATTTGGCCCATGGACTACAGTTTTCTGATCTTTATTCTAGGTGGGCGCCAATAACTCTTCCAAACCATGGTTTCACATAATGGCACAAAACAATAGAAATAGAAATGAGTAAGCAAGGAAAATGGGAGCAGAGAGAAAGTGTATTAATCTGTTTTTCATTATTATAATGAAATACCTGAGGCAGACTAACTTTGTAAAGAAAAGTTTATTTAGCTCACCATTTTGAGGTTCCAGAGAATAACACTGGCATCATCTCAGCCACGATGATGACCTTCTTGGCTGTGTTATGTCATGGCAGGAAAATGTGTATGTAGAGGAGTTCTTATTGCCAAGGAGGAAATGGGGTGGTGGTGGGGAGCAGAGAGAGGGAGAGAGGGAAAGGGAGAGATAGAGACTGGGATCCCAGACTCCCTTTGGAACTCATGTCCCTAAGTGATCTAAGGACCTCCCACTAGGCCCCATCTCGTATAGGTACTATCACTTTCCTTTCCTCCTATATTGGGCACCTTTAAGGGGCCACAGTTAGACCATACCCAAACCATAGCAGTTTATGGTCAGATCAGGAACTTGGAAAGTTGAGCCATTACAGTTTTCAATGCTGGACACTCTAAGATGTGACCATTCTGTTGGGTGACTAACGTGGAGGAAAGATGGGGTCATTGAGAACATGTGAACGTATCGTCAGTGTGTGTGATGAAGTAGATGAGAAGATTGGGAGGGGATAATTGAAGAAAATGACAGTGAGTCAGATCCAGAAGCTGTTGAAGGAGGTGGAGGCATATTCTGTAAGTCAAAGAAGTGACAGTGTAGTGTAGTGCAGTGTAGTGTAGTGTATTGTAGTGTAGTGATTAGGAGCTTGGGCTCTGGGATCAGAGCTGTGCTTTCTAAACTCAACTTCAGCATCCCAGTCTTGGGCAAAGATTGCTTAATCCCTGTGAGCTTCAGTTTTTCCATCTGTAAGATAGTCTTTTTTCTAAACAAAAAGTTCCCCAAGAGAAATTCTGGTGCCAGCTTTTCAGGGGTGTAAACATTTTTTCCACTACTGATACATATACCATACAGCTAAGTGCCAGCTACTTAAAGGGAGTTATTTATTTGTTCAGTTGTTCAGCTAATATTTATTGAATGCTAAATGTGCCTTAAAGTTATGGAGCAGATATACTCACAAGCAAGCTAGTTACCACTTACTGACTACCTCTTGCATGCTTTAGAACTATGGAACACACAACAAGGTTCTTGTCTTCATGGGCAGACAGATATTTTGTGTAGTTCAGTTGATATATATATGTATATACATACATATATGTATGCTAATTCAATGATATGCTCTTACTGAGAGAAGGGGGAGGAGAAGAGAAGAGGGGAAGGAGAGGGGGAGAGAAAGGGAAGAAGGAGGGGAAGGGGAGAGGGAAAGAAGAGAGGAGAGGAGAATTTTAAAAATGCAAGCAGTTCTCAGTGTTTCACTCTGGAGGTAAAGCATAAAATGGGACACATGACTCAGCTTTTTGTTGTTGCTGTTGTTCTCAAATTTGTGTGCCTACATAACCTAAGCATCTCATAAGGCACTTACCTCATGTTTACATACATTTACTTGAGTATCATTCTGAGCAATTTACAAATATTCTCTAATGTAACTCATAACAATTCTAAAAAACAAAATATTTTTATCCCCACTGTATTAAGCTAAGCTAGGCTAGGCTAAGCTGCAGTTATAAACAGTATCAAAATAGCAGTGGTTCAACCTGATCACAACTTCTTTCTTGCTCGTGCAGAGGCCAGTGCGGCTCTTATGAGTTATAGCCATATTGGAACATATTGGCCACTGGAACAAAGAAAGTAAAGGATGGAGGAGGCAAGCAGTTCTTAACCTCCTCAGCGTAGAAGGCTCTTAACCTTTCCACTTCCCCTCACAGAGCATGGCCCCAAACCAACTGCAAGGGTGGCTGGGAAATGCAAATGACACAAGGATAGTGATGGACACTAGCTGTCCGGGCCACCAGCATGTTCAAAGAAAGAATGAAGCACAGAGAAATTAAGGTTTTTGTCAGAGCCGTATGTCGGTAAATAACAGAGGCAGGATTTGAACCTAGGCATCCAAGCTGCTATGGTTGGTACTGTTACAGGCACCATTCCCTCCTCTGCTCTACTGCCTCACCTGTCAGCTGATGCTTGAAGTGATCAGTACTGAGACCACCTCCTTATGTAGTTATTTGATGGATTTTTGAAGGGAAATATTTTACGAAAAGAGATTTTCCTTTTGTGTCCTTTTATGTTTCCTTTTATGTTTTATTTTTGAAGTATACCCACGTGATGCAACTCTTCTGTGCATTAAATGTTTGCTAGCATCTACTTCCTCAAATAATCCTGTCCACCAGCCTGGGAACCATTTAAAGTGTGAGTCAGGGTCTTGTTTTAATGTTCTCGGTTAGATGAATTCTACCAAGACCAGCTGCCTTAGTGCTCCAGTGTCATTCTGTTGTCAGATCACAGCTGATATGTTGGGACCATTTGTCACGGATGACCGCCAATTGCTTAGCACATAAATGATGGGCTCTTATCTGCAGGCTCCCCCATGTTTAGCATACTCTGCATTCTGTCTGCTCCTTCCATTTCTTTTCTATCCTTTTTTTTTATTGCTACATTTTTTGTGTAGCAGGGACACGGATAATTCTTTAAAAATTACTCATAAGCTGATAAAAATAACCAAGATTTATGATGTGTAAAATATACATATTTATTAAGTAAATTATATACCGAAAGGAACTGTTCAGAGTCAATTATCATGGAATTAAATAACTCTAGGCCCTAAAACTTTTTTAAAAAAGATGTTTCACTCAAATGGCAGGAATATGGATGACTTTGATTTTTTCCATATATATTTGTAGCTTTTGTATTTTCTATAGAATTACTTTAAGAATGAAAAGCAGTTTCATTTCAAAACTAAAGGGTATGTATTCTATTTCTTTTTGTCTTGCTTTCTGTAATGGACTTCAATGGTTTTTTTCCCAGCTCTGCACTGATTTTCTAACCCTTCTGGCTACAGAACACCCGGTATTCCTCAGAGGATCATCCCTCTTCTATCTTCAGCCCCCATGGTTAAGTGAGCTGCCTCCACCTCTTGCACTGAGCTGGGTACAGGGGACCAGGCCTGGCCCATCAGAGCAATGATTTCCCCTGACCACAGTGGTTGCTACCTAAATTGGCTCAATCAGATAATCTCAAGTCTATTCAAGAAACAACTAGGAAAGAGTTTCTCTCATTTCCATGAGACTTAGACCTTTGAGGTTATAAACCTTGACCTACTGAGGACAACTATTTAATGAGTTTGTGCCTGAGATAACCACAGAACTTGAAGGTATTGAAAGTTAGAGTTATTCTGATTTTATTTTCAACTTTACTAAATGGCTATGCCTTAAGCCAACTCTATCCCCTTTTAGTTAAGTGAAACAAATACCCTGTCTTAATTACTTTCTTATTGCTGGGACACAATACTCAACACTCACAGTTTAAAGAGGAAAGGTTTATTTTGGCTCACCGTTTGTAGAGGTTTCAGTCCACAGTGGGGTGTTTCCAAGCCAGGGAAGCATGGCAAAGACCCATGGCAGAAGAGAACTGCTGATGACTTGGGTAGCAGGAAGCAGAAAACAATCAAGAGGAGAGGAGATAGATCCTTCTAGTCCATGTCCCCAGTAACCCACCTCCTGCAACTAGGCTTTACCTCACAATATTACATTTAGTTATACACTCTTTAGTGGACTGATCCCCACCCATGATTGCATGAGGTTTTGGGGGGACATATAGATATAGACCATAACATTCCATCACTGGCCCCCAAAAGACTCATATGTATCCCTTCATGCAAAATGCATTCTTTAGTCCATCTCTAAGAGTTGCCAACACAGTTTCAGCCTTGCTCAAAGTCCAAGTTCAAAGTCTTCTCTGAGATATAAGGTGAACTCTTAGCCATGAGCCCCTGTAAAACTCTAAAGAAAGCACTGCCAATACACAGAGGCACAGGGTAAACATTTCCATTCTAAAAGGGAGAAATAGGGGACTAGAAAGGAATGGGACTAAAGCAAGACAGAAAATGAGCCGGGCAAACATTGAATCCTGAAGTTCAATGTCCAGTACCTGGGGCAAGTTTTGATGAGATGTGAACTCCAGAGGCCTTGGGTGGTCATGCCCTATGGCACTCCCAATGGGGGTAACCCCCTTGGCTTCTCTCTTGGGCCAACTTTGCTCGTTCCTTCTGGCTTTCCTCAGATGATCCCCATTCTAACATCCTGGGGTCTCCACTGCACTTTTGGTTTCATACTCACAGCTTCATTCACTGCCCTCTCAGGGGCACACTGCCTAGCCTTCCAGGTCTTCTGAAATCTTAGTGGAAGCCTTCCTGACACCACAACTCTTGCATTCTGCATGCATATAAGACCAGCACCATGTGGATGATGCCAAGTTCTGCTGCTAGCTGGAGAAGTAGCAAGGCTTCCTTCTCTTTTGGCTGCAGGGGCCTCTGCGTGCCTTGTTGACTGATCACTACAAATGAATAAAAACAATTCCAAGAAGTCAATTCTCTAGGCAGCTGGCCATTCCATTCTGGAACATGGTGCTCTTGGGTGTCTCTTCTCAAAGCAGTCTTTCCCCTCTGTGATTTTGAGCCTGCAAAAGTGAGGTCTTACCGGTTCCTCACATATCCTTAAAGCATCCTTCCTATTGTCCTATTGTAAAGTATTTAGCTTCTTTTTAATGCTAATGTTTTAAAAACCTGTGTGTCAGTTTAAGCTCTTTTCCACATGTCTTCTCAATCTGTGACTCAGGACACAGGATCAGCTGCTTCCCTCAGTCTTATGGCAGATGGGGGTGGAGTGGGAGTGACTGAACATACAATAGCAAACTTTACTTTTCATTGGCCAATGTAAGTCATGGCCAAATTTAACATCAGTGTTACAGGGAAATTGACAACTCCTTCAGGAAGGAACTACAAGGTATATAAAAAAGGATAGGGATGTACAATTCTTTCATAAGGAAAACAACAATAATGAATATAATAATACAACCTACCACATCCTCTGAGGACTTACTGAGGGTATTTTCTTCCCTTTTAATGGTAAGGACTATGCCATGTCTTCTGTTGGTTTTAATCTTATTTATGAATCCAGAACCATCCTCTTTTGAAGTATGTAGTCCTAAATCAACTAGCCAATTAGAGGCAATAAAATTATTTGCTAGCATATGAAGGATAAGAGTAGCATAGATTTTTATTTTAGCTGAAAAGAATTACCTGAGAATTGGTCAGATTCATTAGCAAAAATAAATAAGTAAGCACAAGCAACAAAAATACACTGCTGCCTTTCTGGTATCATGTCTCAGGAGAAATCTCATGAAGATATCATTAAAACTGAGACCTTCAATGAAACAAAGATTGTGTTTTAGAAAAGAAAAGATTGCTTTGGATGAAATTTCTTTTCAGCTGTGTTCTGTCCTTGGATAAAAAAAAAAAAAAAAAGAAAAAGTAACAATCCATGATACTTTCATGATGAAAGGTATCTTATGACTGCAAGCCGAGGTGAAAACAAAAGTGTCACCGTGCCATTTGAGGACAAGCCTGGGCTGTATGATGCTCTCTCTGTGCTGAGGTTAACAGTGGAACTGAAAACACTCATGCCTTCAAAATGGCACAGGAAACTGCTTGTTTTTTTTTTTTTTTTTTTTTACTAAACTCATAATTAAATGGTGGCAGGGCAGAAAATTTGCTGCCATGCCCTCTTGGCAGGAAAAAAAAAAGGCTTTTAAATTTATTATGGAGGAACAGGTTTCTGTCTCATTCATTTCAAAGGCCAGAGTCTCATGAGGACAGTAAATCGTCTTTGCTCTTTATATTCACATTCATCTGCAGACAGAGGCAGGAAAGGGAGCTGCTTCCGGGACTTGGGTCATGCTGAGGCTATAAATCCTCAGGATGCCTCCCTCTCTCTGGAGGTTTGACACATGGGTGGCCCTTTCTTGGGAGCACATGGTGCTGCTTCCTCTCCTTCCTGCTGCTTCTAGATGACTATTTGGAGACAAGTTCAGAGAGCCTTTGCAAGCCAGTATGGCGGACACATGTAGGTTCCAGTCTCCATTCCACCATTTATGAGGTTTGTCAGTTTCCTACAGCTGCTGTAATAAACTGCCACAAGCATAATGGCTTGAAGCAACACACATTTATTCTCTTATAGTTCTGGAAGCTAGAGGTCCAAAATCAGTTTTACTGGGCTAAAGTCAAGGTGTAAGTGTGGCTTATTCCTTCTGGGGGCTCTAGGGAAATGTGGTGGTCTTTCCTTTTCCAGGTTCTGGAGATCACCTATGTGCTTGGCTCCTGGGCCCTTTGCATCACTCCAAATTTCTTATTTCTGTCGTTGCCTATCCTGCTTCTATCATAATGCCTCCTTCTGTGTTCTCCTCAGAAATGATTATATCATTGGACCCACCTGGACAATCCAGAACACTCTCCCTGTCTCGAGATCCTTAACTAATCACATCTGCAATGTACCATATAAGGGAACAGGTATATTCACCAGGTCTAAGGTTTGAATGTGAACATTTTAGAGACACTGTGTTGGTCAGCTTCCTGTTACTATATCAAATACCCAAGATGATCAACTTATACAGATAAAACATTTATTTTAGCTCACAATTTTGGAAGTCCCAGTTCATGATTACTGTAGTCCACCCTACCACTTTGGGCCTGTGGCAAAGCTGCACATCCTAGTAGAAAGATGTGGAAGAACAAAACTGTTCCTCTCGTGGCCAGGAAGCAAAATGGAGGAAGAAGAAGGAACCAGAGTCCCATCGTCTCCTTGGGTTACATACCCCTAATAACCTGAAGACCTCCCATTATGACCCACCTCTTAAATGTTCCACTACCTCTTACAGCCCCTCACTGGGAACCAAGACTTTACCACATGGAACTTGGGGCATTTCAGATCCAAACTATAGCAGGCACCACAAGGAAAAACCCGTTTCTCTACTCACAAGACATCTGGCACCAAATGTGTGCCATTTTCATACCAACAATTCTTCAGTTCTCTGCAGATACCAACTGGGTGTTCCACTATTCAGTCCTGGCACTACCTGGGGTTAGTGCAGATACCACAGGTTGAGGACAAGGTCCCCCTGGATTGTCCCGCACTTTAGATGCCAAGGGCAAGTCCTAGTCCCTAAGTCAGCCATACTGTGGTTTGAATTACATACAAACTAGGGATTCCTAAAATCTAGAGGATCCGGGGAGGGTTCACTTCTCTATGGAGGTTACATTTGGACAGAGGCCTGCATTACACTGAATCCCTCTTCCATCTTTAATAACTTTTTGGCCAAATTCCATAACTCTCTGACACTGTCTGTTTTTAGATGATCTCATTTCATTGTTAGAATTCATTCTGTTTATTTTTAAACCCCAAGTTTTCCATCTTGTAGTGAGTGTAAAATCCATCTTTCCTCAGCCCATGCCACAACTACGGTACTTACAATTCAAGGATCCCACAGCTTGGGATCTTTTTTTCTCTAATCTCTAACTTAAGTTCAGCATCTTCATTCATTATGAATATAGGCAACAAACTTCAGTAGTGTCTGCAGTACCCTGTGACTCTGCCACACTAATTGCGACCAGTGATATCTTCCTATCCCATTACAGTTGTTGTAATGTTGAAATATCTTTTGCATTGGTTGTTCCTTTCAAGTCACAATAGCTAAATTGACCTGCTATTAGCTCTTGTTTCTTACCACATAATTTAGGAAAACTATTATTACTATATTACCAGTTGTTCTTTTAATATTTTGGTAACTATTTCAATATAATTGATTTGCCATAATCCTACATATTTATATTGTTAAAAATATTGTTCTAAGAAGGAACCCAAACTGCGAAAATAGAAAGGGGTCCAAGGCATAAAAAAGGTGAGGATCCCCTTACAAGCAGGTTGGGAAGAGTGGGAAGGGATATACTCTGCTCTTCTGCTGCATTCCCCTGGCCTAGGCTCATCCTTTGGAGCTTAGGTAGAAAGAATGGGGTACAGGCTTGGTCTCTGTAAGCTCCTCCTTAAGTCACATCAGAGAAAACATGTAACCAGTTCCCAAGGGGGCTAAATAACATTGCAACCTGGGCATATTTATCAAACAATACCAAGCACCATAGCCTTGGTTAAGATGGCTATACTGTACTTGCCACCCACAGAGTAAACATGTGGTCTAGCAGTCTGTTGTTTAGTGAGCTCTGTTATCTGGACACATAACAGTTTCAATGACGGGGTTGTTTAAGTGGGACTCAGCTCTGTGTTTAACTGGGAGAATGACTCAGCCCGGTGCTAGGGTAATAACTGCTTGTTGATCTCCCAGGGTAGAGATTAGTGAGGGGGCGAAAGCAAGATCATTTTCCAGTAACCATATTTCTGAAATGTGCTTTAAGGCTATCAGAAAGTAGAGCTGCACTGGTTCTGGGAGCTAATTCTCATGTCGTAGAAAACCAAACTTAAAAGAGTCCTGAGATTCCAACCTAAGGACCAGTCATTATATGTCTAGAAGTGTGACCAGATGACCTCTACTGTATTTCTTTCAAATGGTTGACATTCATAAATCAGGAATGTGGGAACTCCAAGAGAGAGCATCTGGGAAGCCAGTCAAGGTGGAGGTTAAGGTCTCTTCAGAATATAGTGGGTGGACATTAGCCAGGACTGGGCAATGGAAGACTTTATGATGACTGATGCAGGGCCTACACTGGCTTTGTAAATGGCTTTACATCTGGAACATTTGTGCTTTTGTGTTCAAATAAAACTACTCAATCTCTTACCTAAAGAAAAGTACGTGGAATTTAGATTCTGAAATTCAGTTGCCAATAGCAAACAAGCTTTTCTGCTTTCTACTTTACTCTCTTTATTGGATGATACTGCTCTAATTGTGTTACAACTAGATAAAGAAATTGAAGACTAACTTCTCAGATTTTCTTACTGTGTATTTTATAAGCATACTATATCTTCTTTATGCCCTACAAATATTTTAATTGGCAACCAAAAAAAGGTGAGAGTGTGTGTATACACATGCCTGCACAGTCGTCTGTCACACACCATCAGAAAAATTAATTTCTGTTGCTTCTCAAAATTATAAGATTGATTCTTATCAGTCATATATATGTAAGTCACATTTAAGTGGGGGGAGGAGGAGGAAAACATGACAAATGAGCATACTAATAAAACAAGGCTTCCTGGAAACATACTAGGCCACACTGTTGTGCCTGACCGAATGCACAAAAAGGTCTGCCCTGGGGTTGTCCAATTTCAGCCCCTAAGGAGTCTCAGCTGCCTTCTCCTGTGATTGATGCTTTGATCCCCCCCCCCCCAGTTCCCTGGTGATGAGTGCTTGCCTCTTTATTTTTATTTGACCTGAAGCCAGTTGCACTATTTCCAAAAAGAGAGAGGGCATGCCTTCTCTCCCTTCAAGCTGGCCTGCTGAAATGATTGATAATTCCCAGGGAATATTCTCTGGAGACTTATGTCTGTTTAGCCTGATATACACTGGCTTTCTCATACTTATTCTTGTTTGCGAACTAGACAGTGCTGCATTATTTAGCAATGAAAGCAAGGATGTCACTAAAGGTAGTCTCGTATTACTGCCATAAAGGTGTATTAGGAAACTAATTTTGTTTTTTGGAGATGTCATTGTGATGCATAGTGGTTCCGGGTTTCGTTGCTGGCCAAAGGCTTTTGTTGGGCTCTTCCAGCTTTTGTGTCCTCAGAATCAGTTCTGCTCTCCTCTTGCTAATCCCATGCAGAAATACTGTTGCTCTGAGCACATCATAACATCTGTAGTCAAAAACATACTTAAGGCAGGAAAATTGCAGCTGAACAGAAAAACCTCATCAGATGTCCCCTCAGATGCAAGTGACAGACCCACTCTCTTAGGCTGTGCTGACATAGGACTACCCTGTAGAGTCAGAAAACTGAGTATCTGCCAAGTGGATACTGTGTGGGCCAATAAAGAGGGGCTTTTCCATGATTATGGCACACACCTCCCATTTTTTTTTCTTCTAGCCAAATTACTGTGTTTTCATCTAGTTAGCAACCAGCAGCTGCTAGATACCTGACTTCCATGTTCATGACCTTGTGAGCTGGCCCCTTCCCTGTTTCCTGGGGAGTTTGTGGTTTCAGCAGAAAATGATCAGTGACCTTGAATGAGTCCCTTTACCCCTCTGTGCCTCGGCATTTCAACCCTAAAGAGAGGATAACAATAGCCCATTTTTGCTATTGTGAGGATCTGATGAAATCGCACCTGGAAAGCCCTTCTTAGTACACTGCCAGGCATGGAGACAGCTGCTCATTACTGAAGTATTTACGTGCTGAAATTGTCCTACATGCCTGCTATACCAAGAGGAGCAAAGCCAGGGCCAGTCTCTGCCCTCATGGAGCTTTCAGTCTGGGAAAAGATTTAAGCATTAATTGGGTAATCACATGGGCTTATATCTCCAAATTGGACCAAAGACTAGGAAGAAAAGTAGGATGAAAAATTGGTCCCTGACCTAATCAGAAGACATTTTAAATAACATTTTAATGGAGATTAGAAGAGAAGTAAGTGTGATCTAGGAAAAAGAGATGTCAGCCCCCATCCCCCGCCAGCCCTACAGTACATTTGTGCAAATAAAAGTGTCCTTACTTTAGGGCAAGGCTGAGGGAGCAGAGTATGGGCTGAGGTATAAAGCCGTCTGGTCCTTCTGCTGAGTGCCCTTGAGCAGAGAGCAATCTGTGCAACTGTATAGGTGCCCCTGGCCCGGGGCAGAGGGTTTGGGTTGAAAGGCAAGGGAAGTACCTTCGCGAAGGCCCTGAGGTGGAAGGGAGGGCACATGGGCCATGTGAGGAGATGAAAAGCCCAGCCTGGCTGCAGCGCAAAGGTGCAAGCTGGTGGGAGGAGTGTCCAGAAAGCACTTGGTGAACACCAGCTAGTATTAATGAACTGTGGTGTTATTCTTGTAACTTTACTGCCAGCACACCAAGGTCTCAAAAATACCAAGATCTACAACCACTGTTAATCCCTATCATTTGGTTTGAAACCCCATATCATTTTTAATGTCCTTGCTTTGTTTTGTTTGTATTTTGCTATTTTTTTTTACTATTTTCTTTAAAATAAAAAGATTAAAAAATTTAAAAATTTTTAAAACCCCAAAACACCAAGATCTCCCTAGAAGCTGCTGAGTTTTTACTAGCGAGGGGGAATTACTTCAGGGATTGATTTGTTGGTGTCACATCACTGAGACTTAGAGAATAAGGACAATGAAACAATGACGAGGAGCGACATTCAGTGTGGTGCTCAGAGAATCCTAGTGCCTCCAGGAGCAGGACTGCAACTGAAGAAGACTGCTTCATGAGAGCCAGAAACAGGTTATTAATAAGGCAAGGAGAGGGAAACACAGAAACAGAGCCCCCAAGAAAAGCCACCGCATTATGTGAATAAAAATGGAAACTGAACATTAGGGAAGGGTTCCTAACAATGCTATCATTTTGAGGGTGTAATTATCTCTGCAAAGTGGAAGACTCCTCTGTACTCATCTCATAGAAAGGACCTGTCTGGCTGGAAAACCAGAGCCGGGACTAACACTAGAAATGGGCTTGATAACCCTCTGTGCTTCCTGGCTTTGATTTCTTTGATTCTAGAATAATTCAAAAGCACATTCATTCATTCAAACAAATATACTGTGTTGAGGTTCTTTTCTTTCTTTCTTTTCTTTTTTTTTTTTTTAAAGTCAAAGTTAGGAGGGAAATACAATCCCCAGATCCTGTAGAGCCATACACTGCTGCCAGTTGCCTTTGCAAGCTGTTGCAGGCTGGTTACCCATGACAGTTTGCCTGCCTGACGTGAAAACGTCAGCACACCATTGTGAGGAAAGCCTGGACGCTGATCCTGGCTAGGTCACCTAAAGCTATGTGACCTTGGGCAGGTTTGTTAGTCTCCCTGCACAAAGAGAGTTACTGTCAGCTCTAGGTGTCATTAGGGAGAGCTCTGGGGCCAGGAACACTTAGGAATCTCACACTTTCAAAGTCAGTTTTGGGGGATTCTGTCCTGGAAACAGCCTCCATGTGATCCACATCTTTTCCAGGGTTCATTGCTTTGTAGTCTGAAAGGTCTTTCCCATTGGTTTTCAGAGGTAGCTGTGCTTTCTTTGGGCACACCTAAAGAATCAGGATTAATACATACTTATAAGACTTTGTCAGTTCTTCATATCTCCATTAAACTGTTTTTATTTTTTGAGACAAGGTTTCACTGTGCAGTTCAGGCTGGCCGTGAACTCTTTTTGTAGCCCAGGCTGGCCCCAAACTCACAGTGATCCTCCTGCTTCAGAGTCCCTCCATTAAACTTTCAGAGGGAAGAAAAAGCATATAATCATGATTTTAATGTATCTATAATTTTTTAGAAATCGTAATCTAAAAATTATAATCTAACTGTAATCAAAATCTAAAAATCCCATAAGAACACTGTCAACTGGCCCAGCACTAAAATATTTTGTTGCTTAATAAGATGTAAAAGCAGCACTTAAAAATATGCTTAAACTTAAGCTAGATTAACCTGAAATGCACACTAGTCAGGCATAACTTTTAGTATTTTACTTTCTGGAAAAAGATGAACCGATGAATTTCCCTGCAGTGAAAGTGGGAGAAAGAGCCTGTTAGGATCTCAGTCCTAATGTAATCCATAAAAGCTGTTTCCTGATGCTGGCACTACCTCCACATGGTCTTGTGTTGATCACAGCAGGACTAACGAGCCATCTGAGTCCTTCAACAGAAGAGACTAACAGTGCTTTAAAAGAATTCCGCATTTTAGTATAAAAGTACTAACTCTAAAATATACTTTTCTTTCAAAATTGACATTGTTGCTTCCTAAAAACAGGAATAGGTGAAACTTTTAATTAGACTGTTTTGTCAGAGGAGTTGTTGGGGTTGAAAGATGGGATTGCATGAATATATGACCATTTATTTTATTGCTTTTCAGCCCGCGGCCACCAATCCCACTCTCCCTCCTACTGACAGAAGAGGAAGCAGTGATTATCATACAGTCCTTCTGGAGAGGCTATCTGGTAAGGGTCATGTGCAAGTGTGGCCTGTGGCTTGATGGGGAATTCTGTGACATGGAGGGTCCATGGGAAAACCTTCCAATAAATTTGAAATAAAGGATGTAATAGCTTACATCCAGACCTCAGAAACAGGATTCTCTGTGACCTAGGTCTTACAGACTGGTTTTGAATTTCTGCCAAAATTTATCTTGAATTATCATTAATTTTCATTATAAGTACCTTCTAGTCATTTTCCCATTAGGGGAACAGCCCCAGAAGCCCAATATGTAATTGATGTGCAACAGAATGAAGGGAACTGTTCTGTCTTAAGTGGCAACGTCCTCCTGCCCCCATCCTTCCACATGTAAGGGGCTTAGGGCCCATTCTCAATGTTTCCCATAGTCCCAGTATGAAAAACAATCTGTAAGACAGATGAATTCAGTTCATCACACCAACAACACTGTCATATAAAAAGATGTAATAATAGCTCAAAATGGAACTAGGCTATAGACCATCATCACTGTATGGCTTGAATGTCCCCTTAAAGCCTTATGTGCTCCTAGGTGAAACTTTGGGGAGGTGGCATGATCATGGGTATGTGATACTGGGATTAAGGGTATGTGATAACTACATTGGTCTATTATAGTTCTGGGTGTGGATAATGGAATCCCCACCCTGAGTGTGGGTGGCACCAATCAATAGACTTGTAGCCTGGATGGAATATAAAGAAAGAAGGCAGGCTGGCTACTTGCTACTTGCTGCCTTTGCCTGCCCTGCCACTCCATGAGTTGTTTCTCCTCTGTGATGCCCCTCTGCCATCCCATCCTGCCTACGAGCCAGCTGACTGTGAACCAAAACCTCTAAAAACTCTGAGCTACTGTAAACGCTTCTTTCTTTAACTTTGAGCATCAGGTGTTTTGTCTCAGCAGTGCAGAAAATAACTAAGACAATCACACAATAGCTAGAAATGTTCCTCAAAGCACAGATGTTTAAGGGATCAGTGTTTACTGTATTACAGTTCCAGCTTTTCAAATCCAAACTTCTCCTGTGCTAAAATCATAACTTGAGGGGACCAAGGAAAGAGGAAGGACCCTTAAGGTCACTAGAAGGAAAAGATAGCTGATAAATGAAAGGACCCTGAATGAGACTAGAAAAGCAGGAGTTAACCTCAGCCTTAAAGGAAATGTGGACACTGGTGTGTCAGCTAGGGCCAAAGGCATCCCCGGGGGAGGAAAGAGCTTGTGTATATTATGCTGTTTTTATTAAAACATATTGTATATTTTAGCATGTGCATCCACTCATATCCCCAGGAAAATATTTGGAAGGAAACAGCAGTGTGGGAACATTGGTACTTTGGGATAGTTCCTGAGAAGGAACTAGGGAGACTCTGGCCTCATGTATCACACACTGAACATATAATTTTATAAAGAGGATATTGTATAATTTTATTTAATTAGAGATTAGCTTAAACCATGTGATTTAACCAGTGATACAGTTGAAAGTATTTGACAAAGTCCAACATGCTTTTCATGGTAAAAACAGTCCTCAAACTGGGAGTGGAAGGGGACTTCCTGTACTTGATAAAGGGTAGCTATTAAAACCACAGCCAATAAATATAGAGTGGTGAAAGATGAGATAGTTTCCTGGAAGATTAGGAGCAAGAGAAAGATGTCCTCTCTCGCCACTTCAGCTTAACCTTGTAGTGGAGGTTGTAGTCAGGGAAATTGGTATGAAAAAGAAAATAAAAGATATATGGATTGGAAAGGAAGAAGTAAAACTCTCTCTAGATAATATGATATCATAGCTGGAATTCAGTTTTTAAAAAAAGATTTCATTTTTTAAGAAAGCCAATTAGAACTTACGAATGAGTTCAGCATGATTGCAGGATACAAGATCAGTATACAAAAAAATTGATTGTATTTCTATACATTTAGCAATGAACAATCTGAGTATGAAATTAAAAGATAATTCCATTCACAGTAGGATCAAAAATAGTAAAGTACTTAGGAATACATTTAACAAAAGTGCAAACTGTACACTGAAAACTGCAAGACATCACTGAAAGAAATTAAAGAAGAGTTTATAGAGTGGAAAGACATTTCATGCTCACTGAGTATAAGACTCAGTGGCATAAAGATGGCAGTGCTCCCTACGCTGATCTGAAGATTCAACACAGATGCTATCAGAATCCAGCTGGATTTTTAAAACAAATCCTAACCTGATCCTAAAATTCAGAAGAAAATGCAAAATGGTCAAAATTATTGAAAACTACAGTAAAGTTGGAGGACTCACATTTCCCTATTTCAAAACTTAACTACAAAGCTACATTCATCAAGACTGTGTGGTACTGGCATAAGGACAAACGTCTAGATCAATGGAATAGAATTGGGAGTCCAGAAATAAACCCTGTCAAATCAGCTGTACCCAGTTCATTTTTCAACCAGAGTGCCAAGACTTGTTTAAAGGGGAAAGAATAATGTTTTCAACAAATGGTACCAGGACAACTAGATATCTACATGCAAAAAAGTGAAGTTAGACCTCTACTTCATACCGTTTAGAAGAATTAATTCAAAATTAAAAACCTAAATGGAAATGCTAAAACTAAAAATCTTAAGAGATGGATATAAATTTTCCATGACCTTGGATTAAGCAAGTTTCTATAGCAAAGAGAGCAAATAACAAAAGAAAAAGAATAAATTAGACATCATCAAATTTAAAAACTTTTGTGCTTCAAAAAACACAAAAGCCCACAGAATGGGAAAAATAGTTGCAAATCACATTTCAAATAAATGTCTAAAATCCATAATGTGTAAATAACTCTCAGCCAGCTGTGATTTCACATACCAGTTATCCAAGCATTCTAGGAGGCTAAGGCAGAAGGATCACAAGTTTGAGACAAGCTTGAGCAACCTAGCAAGATACTGTCTCAAAATGGGAAATAAAAGGGCTGGGCATGTATTAGTGCTCCCTAGGTTCAGTCTCCAGTGCAACGTGGTGTAACCATCACCACTGTCCATCTCCAAGACTTTCGCTCTTTCTACTCTGCCCCATTAATCAGTAACTCCCTATCACCTTCTCCTCACTCCCAGCTCTGGAAACCACCATCCAGCCCCACATCTCCATGAATTTGACCTCATGAGGTGGAGTCATGATGTATTTATCCTTCTATGACTAGCTTATTTCGCTCAGCATTATGTCCTCAAGGTTTATTCATGTTGTAGCAGGTGCCAGAGCTTACCTTTAAAGAGCAATTAATCTTCTTGTTGTGAAACCTTAAAATCCAGATGTCTGGCATCTTCACTCATCTAACACAAAACTAACCAGACAGCCCATTAAAAACTATACTTTAACCAACCACATTAGCAGAAGAGTCATGTGATACAAACAGCTATTTGCAGTAAAGCGTCCTTGGGAGCTGTAACTTTATAATTAGCCTCATAAGCAGGTCCTTGGTATTTCTTAGGAGACACTAAGCACTTCTGTTGCTACGGCAAGCAGAAACACTGAAATGACACTCAGGATTTGGAGGCAGTGAACAGCTTTACTTTACACCAGTGGTTGTGGCTGGGATCATTGCCCACAAAAAGCCAGGTGGCGAGTGTTGGTGGGCTAGTACTTTTATGTGTTGTATAAGCAAGAGGTACAAAGGCAAGACAGAACAGCCTGGAAGTTCTCTGACTAGCTAACAGGGTGAAATCATCAGTTACAAGGCTAGATTAATGATCATCAATTACAAGACCAGATTAATGATCCTGGAGCTTGGTACAGTCAGACATCCTGGATGTTCAGCTACACTCTTGTGGTTACAGGGTTTAAGAAAGTAATTACAGAGCCACAAAGCAGTTACAGAGCTAGGAAATTTCAAAAAGAACAAAGTTTTTAAAAGAACAATATTTCTGGTACAGTTTTTCCCTTTCACTGTGGGAGCAAACATTCATGTCTTTCTTCTTGCAAGACACTAGGCTAGTGGCCAGAAAGTCAGACTGCTTCAGTATGGAAGACTGCATGGTTTCTCGTCTTAAACCCATTTGAATCCTGCGAATGAAATTTGGTCCTTTGAAAACACTCCTTGCTGAAGTGAGTGACCGGTGAGCAGTTGTACTCCACTGCCGTATGCATACTTCTCTGTTTGTGAGATTGCAGATGCCACTGGTAAAAACTGGCTGAGAGAATCCTGCCCTTGTGAAGTTCAAGTGAGGTCCTTAATGGGAGGTAATAATTGAAATTTCCTTAACAGTTTAGGAGGCTGAGACCAGACAAATCCAGTGAATATTCTATTTAAACAAGCTCATGAAGTTTTATGCCTTCTCTTTGTCGGTTTTAGTTTTCTTCTAACTCAGTCTAGACACCCAGTGGAGAGTATCAGCACTCCCCACTTTCCCCAGCTGGCAGCTCTCCCGCCAACCTTGTGACAACCGAGAGTCGCAAAAGCCATCAGTCATTACTCATTATTTGATGAGCAACACGGTGGGAGGTTATTGCAACAGGTCCTGTGTGGTCTTGCAAAATCACCAAATTTAAAATAAAATGATGAAATACAATAATGGAATTCTGATCTCTACTTATAGGGACAGTGAGAATCTTATATATATACACATATATATGTGTGTATATATATATATATATATATAAATACATATATATATACCATTGTCTATGTGAACTGACCTGGGGTGGATCAGGCCCCCAAAGGAGAAAGAGCTTGTTGTAAAACAGAGTGGGAGTGTGACGTGTGAGTGGCACGGGCTTCACTCTGGCTGGACACTGGAATGTCCAGTTGATGACAACCAGGGGACCTGAATCAGACCAATCAGAACTAGTGAGACCTGCACTAAAGTGGCTGAGAAGGAGCAGCTGTCTCTGCTCTGGAGTCACTCACCACTGTGAGGAGCCTGCTCTAGAAGTGACTGCAGAAGCCAACAGGACTGAGATGGCCCTGAGGACATTGTTGAGCACCTGGACCTGGCTAACCAATGAATCCTTTTCAGGATAGATTTCTGTTACTTATAAGCTAGAGTTCTGATGATATAATCCTCAATTTTTTAAAAAAATATGGACTTGTTATTTGAACATAGAGAGAATCTTGGTCCCAAATAAAAAATCTGGATTTGTGCATGGTAATTCAAGCACTCCAGGAGGCTGAGGCAGGAGGATCACAAGTTTGAGCTAAGCCTGGGAAACTTAGTGAGATGCTATCTCAAAAAATAAAAAAAGCAGGGATGTAGCTCAGTGCCAAGGTTCTGGGTTCAATCCCCAGCACTAGGCAGGGGAATCTGGGTCCATCATTGCAGAATAAGCATCCCAGTTTATCTGAGGGAGAGGCTGTGGTCTATGAACTAGAGCTTGGCTTGGCTCGAAAGGAAAGCCTGACCCAAGAGCATACTTTTCTAATACATACCTATTTTTAATTGTTCAAGTAATACTATAAATTATGGAAAAATAAATTATGCAAATCATCTATTGACCTCATCCTTTTAGAATTTGTCCTATCTATATAGGAAATTTTATTCTTTACAAAATCAATGTGATGATAGTTTATGCCTGTTCTCTTTCCTTAATGACATATTGGGAATATTTCTTTGTCAGTACACATAGATATGCCTCACAGGTTAATGGCTTTATGATATGCATATGTGTCTTCCTGTGAACATGCTGGACCATAACTTATTCACTATAAGCGATTGGATATTCTAGCTTTCTCTGCTGTATAAACAGTTTATAAAAAGTATCCAGTTCTTATGTCTGCATACATGTCTGATTTTTTTCTGCAAAAATAATTACTGGTGGTGGAATTAATGGCTTAAAGAGTAAGCATCTTTATTTTATTTTTTTAACCTTTTATTGTGAAATTACCCTCTAAGTCTAGTCACGTGATATCTTCCCAGCAGTGTGTGTAAGTGTTCCATAACAGCATGATGACACAGTGGAGAGGAAGAACATGAAGCATGTCGGGATCATAAGGGAACCATGCTCAAGGATATGAGATGGGACAGCCACTGTGTTCATTGTATGGGTTGCGTACTACACAACCCTGGGGAAATACCATTCAGAATCATATGTATCAGACCTCTCAGGCTTTGAGAAACCTGGAAATTGGTGGTTGAGTGGCTACTTGTTTCCTGTTTCGTTTTCTGATCTGGTGGTTTTGGCAGTACCTAGCCTGTAGGTGTATAAACCTCTGCTGATAGCTGGCGGCTGGATGAGATAATGGCATGTGTACGTGTAATACACTTTAGAAGCACTCCTATCTTAATCCTTCCTGCATAGGAGAGTTTCCTTCCTGAAACTGTGTGGGGTCTTTTAGATTACATAAAATGTGTAAATAATATTCAATAATATAGTAATTGAAAAAGAAATATTAACCATTTACTTCATGGAATATTGTTTAAACACGAAAAATAATAGAGCTGGATAACAAGATAGAAATTGCCCATAATATGCTGTGAAAGATAGTAAACTGTCTTACATGCAGATTATTATTATGTAAAAAATCATATTTAAAAGATAGACTAGAATGAAATATATAAACTACTTTTGGTGTTCAGTGGTAGGATAAAGAGTAATATTTTTATTCTTTTTTTCTATTTTTTAAGTATCTTATGAAGAATATATGTTATTTTTACAAAGGAATAAAAATTATTAATAGATCTAGAAACCTGAATTCAACCATGGTAATTTTTCCACTCCCTTTTTTGTTTTTTGATATAAGGCCTCACTGGTTTTAAACTCACTATGTAGCCTAGGATGACCTCAAACTCACAGTAATCTTTCTATCTCAGCCTCCTGAGTGCTAGGATTACAGGTGTGCACCACTATGCCTGGCTTTCCACACTTCTTTAGTTAAATTTAGGACTTTGTTTGTGTGTCTGTGTGTCCGTATGTCTAAATATCCAAAAAACTTGAAACAATATTCAGAAAGCATTCATTATTATATTGTAATGCAGATGTTAATGTACTCAGTTCATTTTGAAATTGCAAAATCCTGTTGCTTTATAGTCTTCCTAATAGTCTGTTGGATATTTGGTTTGGCTGTGTATGTATTTTACGTTACTTTCTCATTGCTGAGACAAAATACCAGACACCGGAAGTTCAAGGAGGAAGGGTTTATTTTGGCTCACAGTTTGTACAGGTTTCAGTTCATAGTCGGCTGGCCCCAAGACAGGGTGGTGTGGTACAGGGAAATGGCATAGGAGAAATAGCTCATGGCAGGCAGAAGGCAGATGGCTGATGTTACAAGTGATAATTGGCAACAGCATCTTCTTTCTGTCCCTTTATATGGTATTCCAGGCTACCTGCCCTTAGGGTAGGCAGCACTCAGAACTATGCCAAGCCAATCAGTGCCTAAATACTTAGTAATCACACAGCATCACATGAAGTGGATACAACCACCTCTGAAAAAGCCCCACCTATGACTTCATGAGGCTTTGGGAGAACATCTGGACACAAGCCTTAACAATATATATGTACCTATACTTCCAGCTACTCAGAAGGCTGAAGCAGGAGGACCTTTTGAGCCCAGGAATTTAAGGCCAGCTTGGGTGACATAGTGACACCTCTGTCTTAAAAATGTACTTCGTCTCAAACAATGTTTTAAATTGTGAAGAAGTATGATTATTTTGCCTCTTGTTAGGAGTCTTAATGGTCTTTACTGACAAGAATAAGAAATAATAAGCTGGGTATGGTGGCATATGCCTGTAATCTCAGCACTCTGGGAGGCTATAAGTGTGAGCCTGGTATGGCCAATTTAGTAATAGTGAGACCTTGCCTCAAACTTTTTCTAAAAGGTTGGATGTGTAGTTCAGTGTGAAGGCCCTGAGTTAGTTCCCAGCACTGGACAGAGAGAGAGCAAGCGGGGGAGGGGGGCATAGGAGAGGAGGGAGAAGAGATTACAGACTTTAGTCATTTGGAGAGCAGCTTGCTCTTACCATCAGAGGACATGCGCTGGGTCAGCTGACAGTCTAAATGGCAGAGCATTCCAAGGAAGTTTAAGTGGATTTGATTTGACTTTTATTTCTTCCTGAAAACCCATTCCTGTTTATTTAGAGAAGCTCTGACCTATACAGTTAGGTAGAAAATGGATACAAACATAGCCCAGGATGAAAACCAAACCATTATGGAAAGGTTCTGCAGAGAATACACAGAAAAGGTCTGGTTCCTCTCATAGTTTTCTGCAGAAAGAAGAAATTCCAACCTGAAAGCAGAAATTCTGCACTGAGGAGAATTTTTCTTCAGGCCAGGCAGCTGGCTGGGTCACTGGGCATGAAGATGTATCGGTGAGGCTCACTCAGGGTCCTCATCAGTAGCCTTAACTGTCTTGTTCTTGATGCTGTAGCTGCCTGGAAAGACCTGGCCATTCCTAAGTAATATGACTTTCTCATGACAGATGGCCTGTTTGAATCCCAGCAGGTCAGGTTATTGAAACCCTTGGGCAGGTTGTTTAACTTCTGTCCCTAAGATGGGAATAATAATAACTCTTGGCTATAAAAATTGAATCTGATGGTTTGTTGTTAAGGGCTTGGCACAGTGCCAGGCACATAGTAAATCCACACTATTTGATATAACTATTATTGCTGTTGTTTCTGTTTTCCTTAATAGGGCATCTGCTTAAAGAACCAACAGGTGGCCCATTTGCAGTTCCTTGGAGACACCAAACAAGCTCCTGACTCAGGGCCCTTCACCTGCTGTTTGTTCTTTGCACCTGCAATTGATTGGTCATGGTGCCCTCCCTCACTTTGTGG